AATGAGCAAGTCTTCTGCGGAAAAAAAAAAAAGAAAACATATCCTGACTGTATTGGACTATATTATTGTCACATTAAAATTTTCTGGTTTTATAAAGCTTTTATAGGCAGTGTCCTTATGTAATGATGGATATATACTAATTTAAATTTCTTTATAAATATTTTTATTTTATAAATATTTTTATTTTATAAATATTTTTATTTATAGATGTTACTTTTTAAACATATATATTGTATGATTGTGACAGACTCATGTCAAATATGGATTGTCATTATATTTATTTATTTTTGTAAAGTTGGGTCTAGACCTAAAAGCACTGTAGGGCATTAATTTCTATTATAAAAATATGTTCTCTTGACTGATGACAAACATTTTTAGGGATGAAAAGGCTCTTTCCTTTTAAAGACTTTTGGCATAAACTTCAAACTGTCTCTCATTCTGGGACTTTGAGAGTGAATTTGCCTGAAGAAATCATTCCTACCCACCACCTGAAATAAGACTTAAGTGGACAAAGATGATAAGAGTAAAATATTTTAATGTTCAGTTTATTTTATTATCAAAATAATAAATTATCACTTCATAACTATGACCAACCTAGACAGAATTTAAAAATCAGAGACATTACTTTGGCAACAAAGGCCCGTCTACTCAAGGCGATGGTTTATCCAGTAGTCATGTGTGGATGTGAGAGTTGGACTCTAAAGAAAGCTGAGCACCAAAGAATCGATGCTTTTGAACTGTGGTGTTGGAGAAGACTCTTCAGAGTCCCTTGGACTGCAAGGAGATCCAACCAGTCCATCCTAAAGGAGATCAGTCCTGGGTGTTCATTGGAAGGACTGATGCTGAAGCTGAAACTCCAATACTTTGACCATCTGATGTGAAGAGCTGACTCATTGGAAAAGACCCTGATGCTGGGAGGGACTGGGGGCAGGAAGAGGAGGGGAAAACAGAGGATTAGATGGTTGGATGGCATCACCAACTCAATAGACATGGCTTTGGGTGGACTCCGTGAGTTGGTGAAGGACAGGGAAACCTGGCGTGTTGCAGCTCATGGGGTCGCAAAGAGCTCACGACTGAGCGACTGAACTGAACTGAACGTAAATTACTTTGATATTATCATTTTAAGTTCTGTAATGAAAACCAAAACAGAACATACATTTTGAATTAAAACTAGGAAATCTTCTCTGACTGAAATAATTTAAACAATTTACAGAATGTAAAAGTCACCTATTGAAGTAAGAAGACAAGAATACTCCAAGCAAGAATACTGGAGGGGGTTGCCATTCCTTCCCCAGGGAATCATCCTGACCCAGGGATGGAATTCATGTCTCTTGCATTTCAGGCAGATTCTTTGCTGCCCTCATCTGTAAAACTACTGAAGTTATGAGCTTCTTGTGCTTCCCTTTCCTGAAGTCAAATATTACAGATTAAGATATAAAATTTGTGGTGCTAACCTGTATTTTGTATTACACACCTAGTTTCTCAGCTTTTCTACACATCACAGAATCCATTGAAATTCTCAGCAAATGTGGTAAAATCTCAAGACAACACTCTTTGAGTGAATTCCCATGTGTTAGCATCTTTTGATCCACAGTCCTCTGTAGGCTTAATCCTCAAAGATACTGGAGGGCGTATATATGGAATTCATTTTCTTGGGTGAGAGATATGGAGGGAAGGATGAAAATGAGCTAGTTTTGGCGGGCAACCACTGCTAGAATTACAAGGTGCAGAGTGAATGTTTGCATCACTACTGTTCTGCTGACCTCATCTCTCTGACTCCAAACACCTCAGAGAGTCCTGTGTCTGCTGACTCAGAGGAATTCTTGAAATGGCAGTAAATGCTTTGGAAAGTATCAATCAGTCTTATGACCTGGAATATTTTGCATAAATAATTTGCACTAGAGTTCCCTTTATCTTGCATCCTTGAAAGATTTGGATAGGAGAGTAATCTAGGTTTCAAATGGAGAGCTGCTAAAAAACAGGGAGATTTCAGCAAAATTATGAAACCAAAGAGGAAAGCATAGTCTTTGAGATCTGAAAACAGTGTAGTTATAGGTCCCTCTCACACAATCTGGAAATCAGAGGAAAGACAGTCTTACAATATATATCAGGCTGGGGTGGACTAACTCCAGCAAAGTAAGAATAAGAAACAGGAGAAACCCAGGGATCAGGAGAAAATGTGAAAATAATTGGTATTAATTCTTCTTTGGTGTTTGTAAATTCACTGGTAAAGTCATCATTCTGGTCCTGGAATTTCATCTCTTGGGAGAATTTTAACACTTGATTCAATCTTCTTGCTCATTGTTGCTTTGTTCAGATTATCTATTCATGAGTCAGTCTTAATAAATTGCATGCCTTTAGGAATCTATTCATTTCTTCTATGTTATCTAATTTGATGATGTATAATTGTCCACAGTAATCTAGATGAAGATACTGTTTGGCATTACTTATCTGTGGAATAAGAGATGTTTCAGTTTCATAGAGACAGAATAGAATGGTGGATTCCACAGGCTGTTTGGAGGGAGAAATAAGATGTAGGTCAAAAGTTCAAACTTTCAGTCTTAAGAAGAATAAGTTCTGAGGATCTGATGTGTAGCATGGTGACTGTGTTAATACTATAGCATTGCAAGTCTGGAAGTTGCTAAGAGTACATAAGTTTTTGTGATACACAGACACAGTAAATGTAAATGTACAACAAAATAAATGTAGAAAAAGGTAAAATGTGAGATAAGCTTCTTAGTCTGTCTCCTGTGGCTTCAGAGAAAACCTGATAGGAGATGATGACTCAATGAAAACCAAGCTACACATTTACACTTCCAACCTGAAATATTTAGCTGAAAATCGGCTGCACTTTTCCACATGCACCATGGTTCAGTGAAGGGGCTGTCCAGCACTGGAGGCCAAGGTGAAATTAGCAGGCCCCTAGTATTCTTGAAAAGGAATAGGGACTAGTGCCTCATAGATACCAGCCAGACCAGGGAAGAATCAAACATAAGATCCTAGGAAATTAGGTAATTCCCATAGTTGGGAATAGGAGAAGAAGGAGAAAAAAATCCTGACTGAACTCAATATTTGAGACAAATAGATTTATAATCTCTGATAGAATAATTACATTATTTGTTGTTTCAGAATTGGAATGAGGAAACACAATGATATTGCTGGATTAAATTATCTGGAATAGGAATTCATGAACCAAGTTAAACTTCCGTATAGAACTATAAATAAAGTATATCATTTCTGTGCACATTTAAGATTTGATTGTGGCTCACATGCTTGCCTATATACAATCTTTCACAGTTTTCTCCAAGATTAATTTTATCCCTCAAATTTTCCTTCTGATTCCCTTTCATTTGATCACTGGAACTCATTGGCCTCAAATCTTATGATGCATTGGCTGTAACACTCTAATTCTGCCCATTTCTCTCAAAAAAGACTATGTTCTGGACCTCTCTCACCCTTCTTCATAACTGCATTTGCTCCATCAAAATTTACATGGTCTCCGTGTCACTATTTCTAGCTTAGAAAAAAAAAAGCTAACATCAACCAATTTAAAACCTGTCATATAAAGAATTAGAAAGATACTAAGGCTTCTTAACCTGGAACATTGTGGCCTTTAGATAGTTAGAGGACAGTTATTTTGAAAAAGGAATTTGTTGAGAGTGACATCAGTTGAAAATTGTGACATTATATCTGCATTTACTACATAAATTGTAAAGGAGTGTCATTAAAGCTACTTTAGGAAGAAGCAACACTAAGAAACCCTCATCCAATACATTTAACTTGGCCATGGATATTTAAGAATCTGCCTGCCAACGCAGAGCTGCAGGAGACTCAGTTTCAATCCTTACAATGGGAAGATACCCTGGAGAAGGAAATGGCTATACACTCCAGTATTCTTGCCTGCAGAATTCCATGGACTAAGGAGCTTGGAAGGCTATATAGTCCATGAGGTCACAGAGAGTCAAACATTCCTGAGCAACTATGAACAAGCACAGGTACTTAAGTGCACATGCATGCATGCATGCCTATGTGCTGAGATGCTTCAGTCCTGTCCAACTCTTTGTGACCCTATGGCCTCTAGCCCACCAGGCTCCTCTGTCCATGGAATTCTTCATGCAAGAATACCACAATGGGTTGTTGTGCCCTCCTCCAGGGGATCTTCCCAACCCAAGGATCAAACCCTGTCTCTTTGGCATTGGCAGGTGGGCTCTTAATCACTGGTGCCACAGAAACTAGCTAATATGAGGATCTCAATTTTTAATTTACTCAATATGGATTAATTTAACTTCAATAACCTCAATTTAAAAACTGAAAAATATGAAATATTTTATAGTTATATTTATAGTTATATTTCATGTTTTTAAAAAATTTTCCCCTTCTGTTGTAGTTGTCACTTTCATTTGCACTATGAAATCTAATTAAGCTTTTGAGCCCCGCCCCCCGCCCCGCGCCACCTGCCCAGTCACATTTTTTACTGTAACTTTAAACCCCTACACTGGGCTTTTGCAGTCTTGTGGAGTTTTCCTTTTTTTTTCTCTCCAGTTTTTTTCTCTTCTTTTTTAAATTTTAATTTTTAAAAACCTATTGTAGTGCTTCTATATTTATTCCTGCTGTTCTTTTCCACTTTTGGTTAGTCTTTAATGTATATAAATCTTCTTTATCTACCTCTATCTAACTTTGCATATCAATCCTTTGTTTCCTTTCCTCTAAACATATTTATTAGTTTTGCTTTCATTGCTTTATTCCCCACTTGGCACCTTGCTTTAGTTTTGTTTTCCAGTTTGTGCTTTAGTTAGTTTTGTTCTTAAGTGATAAATATAATTTTTGATTTCCTTTGTTTGACAGGTCAATTTACTGTACTTTATTTCTGTTGGACTGTTTTTATTTTATATAAAATAAAATATATTTTGGTCAGTCCCGCGCCGTGCGCCTGCACCCGCGCAGCTCCTCTGTTCCCCGCCTCCATCCCGAGCGTGGCCGCTGCTCCTTCCTCACCCAACATGTCCTCATGTGCCACTCCCGCTGCCGTGAAGATTGGAGTAATTGGTGGAACAGGCCTAGATGATCCAGAAATCTTAGAAGGAAGAACTGAAAAATATGTGGATACTCCATTTGGCAAGCCTTCTGATGCCTTAGTTTTGGGGAAGATAAAGAATGTTGATTGCGTCCTCCTTGCAAGGCATGGGAGGCAACATACCATCATGCCTTTGAAAGTCAACTATCAGGCGAACATCTGGGCTCTGAAGGAGGAGGGTTGTACCCATGTCATAGTGACCACAGCCTGCGGTTCCTTGAAGGAAGAGATTCAGCCTGGTGACATCATTATTATTGATCAGTTCATGGACAAGACTACCAGAAGGCTTCAGACCTTCTATGATGGAAATCATTCCTGTGCCAGAGGAGTGTGCCATATTCCAATGGCTGAACCATTCTGCCCTAAAACAAGAGAGGTCCTCATAGAGACTGCTAAGAAGCTAGAACTCAGGTGCCACTCAAAAGGGACAGTCATCACCATTGAGGGACCTCGTTTCAGCTCCCGGGCAGAAAGCATCAAGTTCCAAACCTGGGGGGAGGATGTTATCAACATGACCACAGTTCCAGAGGTGGTTCTTGCTAAGGAGGTTGGAATTTGCTATGCAAGTATCGCCATGGCAACAGATTATGATTGCTGGAAGGAGCATGAGGAAGCGGTTTCAGTGGACCGGGTCTTAAAGACCCTGAAAGAAAATGCCAATAAAGCCAAAAGCTTACTTCTCACTGCCATACCTCAAATAGGATCCATGGAATGGTCAGCAACCCTCCTTAACATGAAGAAAACAGCCCAGTGTTCTGTTTTGTTACCAAGACAATAATATAGCATGGCTGCCCAGAAGACCAGGAGGCTTTGAAATTCCAGTCCTTTTGTGAATTCCTGCTTGAGAAAACATAGAAAAGATATGCAGCTTTCATGCCCTTGCTGCCCAAGGAAGACGTGATAAGACATTGCATTCATCAGAGATGCCTTCTCAAAGACTTGGACTGCTTCAAATAACAGAAGGAAAGCAAATTACACTTCCAGAAAAGAAAAAAAAGAAGACATCTTTCACCATTCCCCTATTAAATCTGTAACAATAAAGGTAGTAATATTCCTATGCTGCCAAGGAATTTGAAGAAGAAAAGCTCTTAGACTATTTACTGGTGTGACTGTAAGTTGGTATAATCTTTTTGGAGGGCAGTTTGGTTAAAATGTATCAAAGGCTTAAAAAACAGTCTTTGTGCTGGTTAAATTCCTGGGAATTTATCTTTAAGGAATTATCAGAGATACATGTAAATAATTATGAATAAAGAAGGATGTATAACATAATTATCATAGCAAATATTCAAAACAATCTGAATATCTAACAGATGGAGGTAAATCATGGTCAAGCTCTTAATTAGACTGTGAAGCAGCCAACTGAACATCATGGCTTCACATAATGTACAAAACACATTGCTGCTATATAATATGGAATAAGGATATGTAAACATTTTACAGTACTAATTTTGTTTTAAAATTCTACATAGTTATGTACAAAGAATAGAAAGAAATATATGCACTCTTCTGTTATTGTATTTGGGAAGAGGGATTCTGGATAATTTTTACTTTTTCCATTTCTTCACATTTTTCTACAATGAATATAATCGAATAGTGACGTTTTAGAAATAAAAATGGGCTTAGAAAGACCCGGTTCTTGAAAACCCACTGTTTTGGGTAATGCAGCAGAAGTTAAGATGGCACTGCTAAGAGGAGTTCTGTTTGAGTTCCATCCTTATATTGTTAAAAAGACCATTTATGACTCTGGTTAGAACAATATTTGGGTTTGCAACAATGTGAGAAAAGCTGAGTGTTTAATATGGAGCTAATCTTAAATTATTTAAGAGACCATATACACACATTATAGTGTGTCAGGTATTTTTAAAACTGATATTTGACTTTTTGTTTCTACACCTTTTTATGATTTGATGAATTATTTTACATGACTTGATTTTTTTAAAATAAAAAAATGGAAGCTTAAAAAAAAAAAAAAATATATATATATTGATTATTATTTGCCTGATTTTTTAACTGCCATTTGTCTGGGGTTCATCTTTGGTTTTTCCATTTTTGTGTATTTTAATCTCACTTAATGCCATAACAAACCACTTGTGGAATCTTCGCTCCTGATCAGAGATCAAGCCCGGAGCCTTGAATTGGGAACACTGACTCCAAGGCCGTAGACTACCAAAGAACTAACCCTAGGGAGTATCAAATAGTAGGAACTCACACAAAGGAAACCACTTGAATACAAGACGAGGCATCACCCAACCACCAGCAGCATCCTATGCAGGAAGCCTCATCTAAACAACAAGCAAAGCAAAAGTACAAACCCAATCATCAGCAGACAGGATTACCACCTCATTCAGTCTTACTCGTAAGAAGAAAAACAAACAAACACCACCACCACCAACAACAACAAAAAAACAACTTAGAATAAATCTCACCCTATACTAAGCTTACACAAACCACTGGACCAATCTTCAGTTCAGTTCAGTTCAGTTGCTCAGTTGTGTTCAACTCTTTAGGACCCCATGAATTGCAGCATGCAAGGCCCCCCTGTCCATCACCAACTCCCAGAGTTTATTCAAACTCATGTCCATGGAGTCAGTGATGCCATCCAGCCATCTCATCCTCTGTCGTCCCCTTCTCCTCCTGCCCCCAATCCCTCCTAGCATCAAGGTCGTTTCGAATGAGTCCACTCTTCGCATGAGGTGGCCAAAGTGTTGGAGTTTCAGCTTCAACATCAGTCCTTCCAGTGAATACCCAGGAATGATCTCCTTTAGGATGGACTGGTTGGATCTCCTTGTAGTCCAAGGGACTCTCAAAAGTCTTCTCCAAACCACAGTTCAAAAGCATCAATTTTTCAGTGCTCAGCTTTCTTAACAGTCCAACTGTCACATCCAAACATGACAACTGGAAAAACCATCGCCTTGACCAGACGGATCTTTGTTGTCAAAGTAATGTCTCTGCTTTTTAATATGCTATCTAGTTTGGTCATAACTTTCTTTCCAAAGAGTAAGCGAACATCTGCAGTGATTTTGGAGCCGAAAAAAATGAAGGCTGACACTGTTTGCACTCTATCCCCATCTATTTCCCATGAGGTGATGGGACCAGATACCATGATCTTAGTTTTCTGAATGTTAAGCTTTAAGCTAACATTTTTTACTCTCCTCTTTCACTTTCATCAAGAGGCTTTTTAGTTCCTCTTCACTCTCTGCCATAAGGATGGTGTCATCTGCATATCTGAGTTATTGATATTTCTCGTGGCAATCTTGATTCCAGCTTGTGCTTCTTCCAGCCCAGCGTTTGTCATGATGTACTCTGCATATAAGTTAAATAAGCAGGGTGACAATATAGAGCTTTGATGTACTCCTTTTCCTATTTGCAACCAGTCTGTTGTTCCATGTCCAGTTCTAACTCTTGCTTCCTGACCTGCATACAGGTTTCTCAAGAGGCAGGTCAGGTGGTCTGGTATTCCCATCTCTTTCAGAATTTTTCACAGTTTATTGTGATCGACACAGTTGAAGGCTTTGGCATAGTCAATGAAGCAAAAATAGATGTTTTTTTCTGGGACGCTCTTGCTTTTTTATATATCCAGCGGATATTGGCAATTTGATCTCTGGTTCCTCAGCATTTTCTAAGACCAGCTTGAATATCTGGAATTTCTCAGTTCACATATTGCTGAGGCCTGGCTTGGAGAATTTTGAGCATTACTTTACTCGCGTTGAGATGAGTGCAATTATGCGGTAGTTTGAGCATTCTTTGGCATTGCCTTTCGGACTGGAATGAAAACTGACCTTTTCCAGTCCTGTGGCCACTGCTGAGTTTTCCAAATTTACTATCATATTGAGTGCAGCACTTTAACAGTATCGTCTTAATGTGAAATAGCTCAACTGGAATTTCATCACCTCAACTAGCTTTGTTCATAGTGAGGCTTTCTAAGGCCCACTTGACTTCACATTCCAGGATGTCTGGCTCTAGATGAGTGATCACACCATTGTGATTATCTGGGGCATGAAGATCTTTTTTGTACAGTTCTTCTGTGTATTCTTGCCACCTCTTCTTAATATCTTCTGCTTCTGTTAGGTCCATACCATTTTGGTCCTGTATCGAACCCATCTTTGCATGAAATGTTCCCTTGATATCTCTAATTTTCTTGAAGAGATCTCTAATCTTTCCCATTCTGTCGTTTTCCTCTATTTCTTTGCATTGATGGCTGAGGAAGGTTTTCTTATCTCTCCTGGGTGTTCTTTGGAACTCTGCATTCAAATGGGAATATCTTTCCTTTTCTCCTTTGCTTTTTGCTTCTCTTCTTTTCACAGCTATTTGTAAGGCCTCCTCAGACAACCATTTTGCCTTTTTGCATTTCCTTTCCTTGGGGATGGTCTTGCTCCCTGTCTCCTGTACAATGTCATGAACCTCCGTCCATAGTTCATCAGGCTCTCTGTCTATCAGTTCTAGTCCCTTAAAGCTATTTCTCACTTATACGTGTAGTCATAAGGGATTTGATTTAGGTCATACCTGAATGGTCTAGTTGTTTCCCCTACTTTCTTCAGTTTAAGTCTGAATTTGCAATAAGGAGTCCATGATCTGAGCCACAGTCAGCCCCAGGTCTTGTTTTTGCTGACTGTATAGAGCTTCTCCATCTTTGACTGCAAAGAATATAATCAATCTGATTTTGGTGTTGACCATCTGGTGATGTCCATGTGTAGAGTCTTCTCTTGTGTTGTTGGAAGAGGGTGTTTGCTATGACCAGTGTGTTCTCTTGGCAAAACTCTATTAGCCTTTGCCCTGTTTCATCCTGTACTCCAAGGATAAATTTGCCTGTTACTCCAGGTGTTTCTTGACTTCCTACTTTTGCATTCCAGTCCCCTATAATGAAAAGGACATCTTTGGGGGGTGTTAGTTCTAAAACGTCTTGTAGGTTTTCATAGAACCGTTCAACTTCAGCTTCTTCAGTGTTACTGGTTGGGGCATAGGCTTGGATTACTGCGACATTGAATGGTTTGCCTTGGAAACGAATAGAGATCATTCTGTCATTTTTGAGATTGCATCCAAGTACTGCATTTCAGACTTTCTTGTTGACCATGATGGCTACTTAATTTCTTCTAAGGGATTCCTGCCCACAGTAGTAGATGTAATGGTCATCTGAGTTAAATTCACCTATTCCAGTCCATTTTAGTTTGCTGATTCCTAGAATGTCAACATCACTCTTGCCATCTCCTGTTTGACCTCTTCCAATTTGCCTTGATTCATGGACCTAACATTCTAGGTTCCTATGCAATATTGCTCCTTACAGCATTGGACCTTGCTTATATCACCAGTCCCATCCACAACTGGGTGTTGTTTTTGCTTTGGCTCCATCCCTTCATTCTTTCAGGAGTTATTTCTCCTCTGATCTACAGTAGCATATTGGGCACCTACCGACCTGGGGAGTTCCTCTTTCAGTATCCTATCATTTTCTCTTCTCATACTGTTCATTGGGCCCTCAAGGCAAGAATACTAAAGTGGTTTGCCATTCCCTTCTCCAGTGGGCCACATTCTGTCAGACCTCTCCACCTTGACCCTACCGTCTTGTGTGGCCCCACACAGCATGGCTTAGTTTCATTGAATTAGATACAACTGTGGTCCGTGTGATCAGATTGGCTAGTTTTATGTGATTATGGTTTTAGTGTGTCTGCCCTCTGATGCCCTCTCGCAACACGTACCATCTTACTTGGATTTCTCTTACCTCAGATGTGGTGTATCTCTTCACGGCTGCTCCAGCAAAGCGCAGCCGCTGTTCCTTACCTTGGA